CGAAACGTATTTAACTGCCATCTCTATGGCTGATGAGAAAATGGCAGAGTTTCTTAACATGTCTTATAAGTTTTATAAGTTCTAATTTTATCTTTAAAGTATCTACGGTCACTAACGAGACAGCGATATATTAGAAAGACGAAAGGCGGAGAATATCGGAAAGAACAGTTTGATTGCTTTAGTATATGAAATCTCGAGTTATCTCGAGCGAAACGATGTCGTAGAATGTGAGAGGAGGTCGATTAGTCGAGAGCTTTTCGCTAATCGAAGAGAGATACTTCAATGTGAATCACTTTAATTAAATTTAATTTTTGCAAGCTAATTATTGCTACGCACATTTAACTACCATTCCCTAATTGCTCTGCGGTCAAAATTATTTGGGTCCCGAATGATTATTGTAACTCGTTTAAAATTTTTCGAAGTACAATTCCGTTTTTCGCCTTTCTCCTCTCTTCTCGAAGTCACTCGCTTCGTTTTATTACACGTTTTACAAATCATCAGTTTAACGGCTAGTACTTATAGACATACGTATGTAACAATTAATCGCGCATCTACGAGGATCAAGCATTTCTTTTGCAACTCGTTCGAATGTGATTTTAGGCCGTACTTGAGCACTCCGTATTGAGAAACGGAGATCGTCATTATCGCTGATCACCTAAATTCCCGCGAGATATCTCGTGGCAAATGTGGCAAAGTATGATCAAACAATTCACGGAAATCACAATATAGGGACTGAAGTGAAAAACAAAAGGAAAAAAAAATTACAATTGAGATATAACTAGTTTTTCCATTTTTCTCGCACAGCGTTTTCTCATCTCGAAGAATGGCAAATCGATCATGTGTGCTTATTCGGTGCTCTGCAAATGCCTTGTTAAATTTTCAGCGTCAGTAATACTCAGCATTACTCAGTGAAAAATTGAAAAACAAAGTTGAACGAGATCGATTTGCCGAAACGCCGATACGCGTACGCTTCCTGTCACGCGGGGCTAGAAAATCGCCCTTACTGTTTGATCCACGTGAAGACACGCGCGCACTTCCGTGAGATTGTCCCTGACACTTACAATTAGACGTTAGAACGAGTACAACACAGATATGTAAGGGAAGAGGCCGTTGCTTGCAACTCTTGCAACAATAGCATTCTCAATGAGATGACTGTTCATCTCATTTTAAGAAGAAAATCTACTTTGTCATCTTTATTTTTTTTCTTTGAGAAAGTGTCTCTATCTTGATTTATCTGATAGAGTGTGTGTGCGATGTGTGGGTGCACATCTCTAGGAATATTTTACACACGGCCTGTGTAATATCTGTATAGCAATGAATTGTAATAGGTACGGACATATTATCTTCTAGAGATCCGTAGTTAGTATAAGTTTGAATCAATAGTTTCGATTGTCAAGATTGATACCACGTATTTGCGCGCGTACGTGTTTATGTAAATGTGTATATGTATGTGTTTGCCCGTTGACGACTGCCCATCCGTATCTATGTGTATATTTTGTGTATATGTATTCATCGTAATTAGACGCGGGACAATAATGGAACAGACTCAAATCATGCTCTATATAATGTTAAGGTGCTAGCGTTCTGTATCGTAGAAAAAGGGTAATTCTCTATCTGAACGAGTAGCGTGTGCTTAGATTTTACTAAGGTAAGGATTTTCATGTCTAAGCTCGAACTTTGTCGAAAGATTTTTAGAGAAATGAACAAAGTGTAGCGCGTGCGAATACAAACAATTTAACTCTCTGTTCTTGGAATTTCTTAACGCATAAAATGCATATGCATGCATAACGCAATATAAATATAAATATATAAATATCAAAGTAAATATAATTGTATAATTAATGATTATATTTAATTATAGATATAATTTTATTTATATATATTTAAGTGTAAATAAATGACCCAATAAATATGTATACATAATATAACATAACATAATTGATATAATAAATATAATATGACAAAGTATCATATATATATATATATATAAAAAATATATATAAAATATATGAAAGTATTTAATTAGAAAGTCAGTTGGAAAGTTCATTAGAAAGTTAATATTAGTTATATAAGAATTATGGGGAACATCTTTAAACAAAGATGCTTAAAGAGTACTTGATCCGGTCTAATTAATTATTAATGAAATAATAATTTATAGAACAAGAGATTAATTTGTCATTCGTAATTTCATTAATATAGATCACCGACAAAATGGTTCACAACTAATACTGTTATAAAATGTAAGTTCTCGTCTCGAGCTAATGAGAGTTATTAATATAGAATAGCCAAGAAGAGAACAAGTAGCGATAGTGGCAACAATAACAACGGCACCGATAGCTAATGGTTATTAGGTCACTTCAAAGACTAGTAGAAAACTAGTTTAGAAATGTTTAGAATGCGCTCAACTACGTACAAAGGAGAAGTTCTCCGTCTAAAGCATAGATGATTGCATTCGTACGAGAAGATTGTCCATGCGATAATCTTCGTACGGAGGAAACTTTCGATGAAATGCTACTTATTTAGTTAAATTAATTCGTGACTTTTCATCGAAAGTTTCACCGATTTCCTTTACCTTCGTTACAAATACCTCTCTCGCTTGTACTTTCTGTTTACGTTGTTACGTAATATCATACGTAAGATCATCATATTTTGAAGTTACTTCCTTTGTTTTCTTTATGCATAATTCGCATTGTTCACTCGTGGGAAAAAAATTTAGTATTTAGAAGTTTAGAAAATAATTGTGTTACCATAAGTTGCATTGCGTTAATTAACGCGAGTTTTAAATGCGCAATGTGGTTAACGTATATATACGATTAGAATATTATACAACGTAACAAATAAAGTACAAGTATGAGATCGTAGTACGATCGAGGTAATGCACAATTTGTTTTACAGCGATATTCGAATTTATGTATTGTTTAATATTCATGATATCGGATATGTCTCTAGGCCGATTACTCGTGAAACATTGTTTTTTTTTTTTTTTTTTTTCTTACGATATACCTGACGTAGCCCTCGCAAAGGCACAATCGTCTCGTTTATGAGTCTTGCGAGGTGTGTCACTGGCGTTCGAGGCGAGAGACTGATGTAGCGATTATATCGACAAAAGATGTGTGAACAACACAACCGTAATTAAAGTATCTTTTTTCTTTTTTTTTTTCTCGAGCCGATATGCTTTCCCGCTCTGTGTGTTTTAACAGTAAAAAATTACTTTCTTCGGATGCTTCTTTTGGGCGCTCGCGATTCCGCCTGCACGTCTCTCCGATCAGAAATTTGCCGTAGATTGCAAAGGAATCCTCAAAGGAGTCGCAAGATTTGTTCAAACTACCTGGACCTGAATACCTGTCGGACCTCAAAGATCCGACATTAATCTGATGGATAAGTAAAAGCTTTCGTAAGAGAGAAAATTCAAAGCTCTCTGATGCTTTATAGATGTGATATTTACAAAAAGGAAACCAAACGGAAGAATACCTACGGCAAAAAGGGGTTTACAAGATATAAGAATCGCACACGTATCGTCATCGTTGAGAATTTCATTTCAATGGATTTGGCCAAAATAAATTTTCGATTGAACTTTCGTTGACATCCCTTAAACATCTACATCGTTAACATCGAGTTTTAATGACGTGGGACAATGACACCGTATTTATCCTTAATCATATCAGTTAAACACATGTACATTTTGATTATCCTTCGTTACAGTTTTTTTTTCCCCGCGGCTTGCAATGATATATAATACGTTTATATATATATATATATATAGATATATGCATGTGTACACGGTTCAGATGGATGCTGTAAAAGCTTATATCGCGTTATACACATACATCACATGACTTAAATATCGCGTGGTTCATCCCCGTCTGCGCACGCACCACACTCAGTATAATAATAAATTTGTGATCTTCCATCGTTCAATACGTGACCCATGGATCATATCGTAAGAATGCTGTCGGATCATTAATTAATTATTTCTGTACGATATTATCACGTTTATTTCCTATCGCTAATTACTCGGGCGGGGTAAGCGCAATAATTCTGGACAATCCATTCTGTCCCTAATCTCGTCGTGGGACATTGTAGGACTTAAACATTCACATTAACGCGTCTCGAGAATCATCGTAGGTGATCCCGAAGTGAATTAAGTTCGTGTTGAAATTTTTGCCGTATCGTATTACTTTCGACTTCGTTATCTCTGTCAATTTCTTTTTTTTTTTTCTTTTTTTTTCATAGCCAATCGAACTGCTCGGAATTGCTTCGTGGAGTCATCAGTATGATCTTCGAGACGCTACGCAAAACGGGACGTCAGTATTACATCTGAGAAACGTCGAAGAAATCCACCTGTCCGTCCCACTATCAGTCTACGAGCTACAAAAGTTGTGCGACTTCTAAACACCGAGTTTAGTTGGTTATTATTCAAGTTGGCCGCGAAGTTACTTCCGGGAACTCATCCGCTCGTCTCGCCATCACCTCGAGCTAATTGCTCCTTTTTTTGTTTATCATCAGCTCGACCAGCGAGCCTTGAAACGATTGTCTACCATTAAATAGTTAAAGCATTAAGTATTTACGTCGACCGGGGCATTTCACTTCGATTCGATTGTCTTTTATTTTTCTATCATTTTTTTTTTTTTGGAATGCTGACTGTGTATATAAAAAATTTTGAGTCTCTATAATTTGCGATAATAATACAGTTTACAGATTTGCATTATAATGCTCGCACAAATTAATGCTTATATATACGTAACAAATCTGATGTAAGTGCACGATAGAAGGTAATACAATTCAGAATTATACATCAAATTATGCAAAGCAGAAGAGAAAGTTTATTGCATTATCGCAAACTTATATGTGTCGCATTCGCAGATCGAACGTCTACTTTAAACAGAAACGCGAATCCCGAAAGTGCCCTGTCGACGTAAAAAGATCAAACGGGCTTTATATCCCCCGTTGATCCTTTAAGTATCGATATTTGAATTGGCACGTGCGAAATTCGATCGAATCACTGACTGGATCAACCAGAGGAAACCACCGCCGGCGGCAGATGTCGGTCGAGTTTCGCTTCGCACAGTCGATCGTACTCGACATTATATTTGTTTCGGGAAAAATGGACCCTTATCATCTCATCAGGATACATGGCTGCCTCCACCTTGTTTCTGTAATTATTTCCTCAAAAAATAAACTTTACCATACCTTTCTTTCTCTGCCCGTGCTTTATGCAAGCAGATTTGCACAGGTACACCTTTATTGCTACTGTCACCGCGAATGCCTGCAAAAATACTCGCGGATCTCGAAAGGCGCTAATCAAGGAACTCGGTTCTTTCGACTCTGTTTTCCTTATTTCCCCTCTTTTTTTTTCTCTTCTTTCGCCGAGTTGAAACGCGACGACGCTGACTCTAACGTCGACCCACAAGTGGTAAGTTCAATGGAAGCATGTCGTTACGAGTTTTAAAGTTGATTGTCTTCTTGAACAATTGTATAAACCATCTGAAGTTGATTGTCTTCCGGTTATACATTACGCATGATTATCGATCTTTTTAATCAAGTTTGTCGATGCGACGTACGATCAATCCGCGTTACCGATTATTTTTTATACATTGTAATGAACAATGCAACTAAATGTCTATATCTGTTAGCGATGTTTGTTTTGAGATTTGTACCTATTGAAAAAGGAAAAAATATAAATTTTTAATTATATTTCGAGAATAATCAGATTCTATAATTTCTTACTATTATTTGTATTTGCAAATCAGTTAATCAGTAATGGAATTATTTATTACTAGCAGATGTAGCCCCATTCATTAATGACTTGCCTGTTTGTTTGCACTTTCATATTGATTAATAAACAATTATAAAGCATATATTAATCGACTTAATATCGAGACAATAATGAGCGTATATTTATTTAATACTCATACATATGTAACACGTGCTTCAATTGTTCGATTGAATAAAAACACAAAAGTACGCCCGAACATATTTGCATACCGTCGATTAATATAACTTATAATTATAATTATAAGATAATACGATAGCAACGCGGAATGAAAACTCCGTCGCGGCGAACTTCATTTGCCTTCTGGAACAACGTGAGCCCCGTCGCCACACTCAAGGACTTGCAACAATAAGGAACGCCGAATTATCTCGCGGAAATCGAGATCGCGTAGGATTCGAGCCAGTCGACATTGCCACGTGATCAGCCACGATTTCCATCAAGAGATGATCTTCACGACGGATTCGCCCTCGTCCTTGAGCAAAAGGCTCAGTCTGAGGTCGAGCTCGCCAGCCTCGAGGGCCCATTTTTCCCTTAGCCATCATGGCGAGTCCGCATTGTGCGTGCCGAGGGTGTGGATCGGGAAGAGCGGATACCAATCGAAGATGAATTCCTTCGGCGGCAGCAGATCGAGATCCACTTCGGCGCCGCCCAGACCCTGGTTGCTCTCGAAGGCCTGCTTCTTTTCCCACAGCATCACCAGCAGGTGCCTGCCCAGAGTGTCGCAGCGCCCGTATTTCAGCGTCTGCCGATACTGCGGATTCTTCGAGTGTCGTACTACGCGAGTCTTGCGCTTCTGCAGCCACTTATCGCCGTCTCGTTCTCGCAAGTACGTCTTCACGTAAGTGTCTGTAGATAAGGACAAAAATTTCGCCGTCAATACTTAATGGGATAACGGTCTCTGAAATCTGCGATATTTTCAGATCTGCGAGCGAAAAGAATTTTCTTTCCTCGCGAATTTCCAGTTGAAGATGTAAGTGCACAAAACATTTCATTTTTTTTTTTTTTTTTAATAGTCTTCAAACAATTTAAAAATCTTCGGAGAAAAGAAAGAAATTATTATCATCGTAGATCATCGTTAAATCTTTTTATTAAGCTAAACAAAAGAAACTGAGTTGATTATCTTAGTTATTTCCAACATGTTCATAAAAACGTTAGTTTTACTGCAGTTTCGACCTTAATAAACCTTAATAAAGTTAGCGAATATAGGTCGTTGCGATTAAGCGGCTGATTGAACGCTCGGAAATTTGTTTCTAAATGCTAAAGTAATACATGAATAATCAAGACCGAAAACACGGCACGTTGTAAAAGTAGCAGAATTAATGCTTGCGCGAAGATAGCCAGCCAAGATCTCAAAGATTTGTGAGAATTTTTTACTAACTGTAAATAGAAATGAATAACTTGATGGGGAAATTAACGATATTCTTCCTTTACCTGGCTCCTCCTTTTCCTCGGGACAAATGTCCCTTGCGCAGATAACTTCGACCTCGAGAGTTCCCTTGCACAGATAAAAGCCCAATTGTACTTCGCCATTCTGCGTTCCTGCAATGTTTGCAATTGCAATCAAATAGATATCATCAAAAAATTGTAATGAAAAATTCTTACATTAACAAATATTAATAAACATTCAAAATTAAATAAATTAATGTAAAGGTTTTAGCTCTGTGATTAATAGAATAAATGAATTAAATTATCGTATATATTTTTAAAAACAATTCTTTTTCGAATTATTTGAATAAACTTTATATTTTTAATAGGACGGAGAGACAAAATATAGAATCTGCAAAGAATTTAAAGAGATTATAAAGAGCAAATATTTTACCACTCATTATTTTGAATCCCTTCGGCAGCAGCTGTCCACGACCCAGTTTCAGATCGACGCCATTTTGACTACAATAACAAAAGTTATATCATAAATTCAATCGTGTTTAGCTTGAATATCAATGTAGGTTAATTCAGAGCTTCTATTCTCTCATATCGTTGTATGACCAAACTAAAATATCAACGATACGACGCTATAAAGTAATTGATGACAATAACAAAAGTTACGTCATACAAATTCAATCGTGTTTAGTCTAATGAATATCAATGTAGGTTGGTTCGGAGTTTCTATCCTCTTATATCGGCTATGTGATCGAACTGAAATATCAACGATACGATGATATAAAGCGTAATTGATGAATCGATAATAAACACATGGAAAATGTGAGCGGAATAGAGTGATTGATCCGTTTTAACTTGTCATGAAAGATGGATCACGTACCCACATTTCTCGTCTTCATCGGATTCGCTGTTTCGATCGTAAAATCTCTCAGGAATCTCCATGACGCTGTCTTTGCGCTCACCCCGCCCTACGAGTTGAAAAATATCTTTTCACACTATTGATCACATCGGACCGACTGCAATTTGCGTGGCACTGCAGAATTTTTATCGAGATATTATTCATTCATTGAACTGACACTCTCTTAAAAATTGTCACAATTGACAATCTTTAGATCTTTTAAATGCACACGAATCTCCACACAAATTGCAGTTAGATGTTGTTATTAAGTGAAACAATTTACACCTGCCAATCAGAAAAATCAGTTCTACGGGCTTATAATTCCAAACTCAGTTTGCGACAGAACTCTCAGAAAAGCTTCCTACTGAACAATACGACAGCTGTGAAGCATCTTTGGTCATGTGAATTTCAATACAATTCCAATAATTCGATAATAATTTCTATCAACATGATATATTGTAATTTGTTTTTTTAAATAACTTTTCAAAATTTACTTCGAGCATTCTGTAAGGATAATAAATAATCGCCTTGTTTGATCGGCGTCTCGAATAAGTAATTATAAAAATACTAGATAAGTTTTTAAAATTATACATCACGGATCATTTATACGGATCCTTTTTTATAATACAAAATAAAGAAAGTAATACATAAAGAAAGTAACACAATATTATATCATTTATATTGTACTAATGTTAATTTTTGAATTGCTCATATTATCCGTTTTATTATGCAAGAATATGCAGTGAGAATTCCTATGCAAGCAATTCAATCAACTCCAATGGAGTTGCCAACCGAATCGTGAAATTCAACGACCAAAGCTTCCTGAATTAGGTAGATGTATGTAATAAATTCCAAACGCGTTCTCTACATAGAAGTAAGATACAAACTTCGGTTCCAAAGTACCAACGATAGCAGGGAGTTTCAACTCTACGAAGAGGGAAGTTCAGTCTCGATAGCTGTAATAAGATAATTAGAAGCTCGGAGAGGTAATAATTCGTCCTCGTTTTGTTGTTAACATATTCCTCCTAAAGTTCTCATTATAATTCTTTTTACATTCATGTTTCTTTGTTTTACATTCACTTATCCTCGTTAGAAGATCCACAGAAATTTGGCAGAGATCTTTTTTATCAAAATACAAGTTTATAGAAAGATTAATTATCGATGCATATTTAAAATTAAATTTTCTATCAAATTTATTAGTTTTTTCATTATTAGAAACTATTAATATATTAATTTTTTTAATATAAGTGGAATATTTTTATCTATACAATTGTATATATATATTATTGAATATATCCTGAATTTTTACTTCATTGTAAC